ACCCCCACTAGATCTTATTCAAATGTGGGAGGATCTCCACTTCATTTCCAGCTTCCAGGAACACATGCGACGCGACTTGCCTCTTGACGACTCCGATTACGCAAGTATTTTTGCGCGGATCTCATCGCACAGCCCTTATCTACTTACTGCCCTGCGTATCTTCATGGTCTGGCCACAAAAACCCACTTTCACCCCGGTTTTAGATCTCCTCGGATTGACGTGGGAGATCCTCCGGCCGCTTTGTGTGTTCCGCGCCTGCCTCGAAAGCGACTCGGCGTCCGGCGGCAATGCCTACGGTAACTCCCTCATCGACTATCTCTGCAATCCCCTCAGAGCCGGTGCGCTGTACGTATCTCGGCAAGATACACTGCGATGCACGGCCTTGCGGTGCATTGCGCACATCAAGGAGATCCTCGTAACGAATAGCTTTTTCGAATTTGACCCGTGCGTTGCATCCCTTCTGTTCGGCAGTAAGCTCATCCATTCCCCTTGACAGTACATGGTTTTTCATGATCGCGCAATGCGAGCCCTGTGATTCGGTGTTGTGTGCGCTGGAGGACCTCGACGTCGCGCAGTCATGTGGCCGCCTGGACCGAGACCCCGAATATCACGCTGCGTGTCACGAAGACTTTCTCCACCCAAGCTGCTTCGTTGAGATCCTGGATTGGCTTGGGGTACCTCGCAATTTCCAGATTATACTAGTGCTTATAATTTTTGCAGAGCTTTCCCTGTCCTCCGCTGGAGATAATTGAGTTTTGGGAACAGCAGAGAGATGCAGTGGAGAAATGCTGGGAATCACTTCTTAGCCACTCTTCAGGGCGTGGAAATTCGCCGGACGTTGAATAAATTTCTGGACTCGGTTGTATTATTCCGACGCGGTGGGACTCAAAGGTGGACCGAGGCTTCTGTATCTTTTGATCAAAATTTCAATGGTACGATGTTCCATCTATGGAGATAGAAATGTGGAGTTTGCAGGCATAATTACAGGATGCGAATCTAATGCAGCGATATTTGGATTACACATTCACCAGGGCAATTCTCCACCATCGAAGGCGAATCTCCCTGAAAGCAAACAATATTAGTCCCGCGAACTACGGCAAAAGAGGAATGATTCTGACCCGTCTTGCCGTCCTTGTCCATCAAGCACCACTCCACGAGCATCTCCGCGCCCTGCTCTGCGGTCTTGCCGCCGGGCGTGAACCCATTCAGCTGCGTGGACGTTTTTCCCGGCGTCGCGCAGTTGACTTTGATGTTCTCATCTTTGAGCTCGTGCGCGAGCGCGATGGTGTACGAGTTCGCCGCGGCCTTGCTCGTGTTATACGCGACGGCATGGTTCAAATGGTGCAATGAGCCCGCCATGAGGCTGTTGGACGCCATGTCAGTAGACAAGTTGAGGATCACGGACGGGGTGTCGGGTGAGACGGCGCTGCGCAGCAGGGGAAGCAGCGTGGTGGTGGTCTGAATCATCCCGAAGAAGTTCGGCTCAAATGCAGAACGTATAATTGTCAGATCAGCCTTGGACGCGCTTTGGGGCTTGTCCATCTCGCTGATGCCTGGCGATAGAATCAGAAATCTATCGGTATATATCAGAGAAACACACACCGGCGTTGTTAACCAGCACATTCAGTCGACCCTCCTCTTTTTCGATCTTCGCGGCAGCAGCTTGTACTGAAGCGATGTCTGTAACGTCGAGTTGAACGAACTTTACATTGAGGTTCTTCTCTTCCTTGATTTTAGCACTGGAACAGCACGAAATCAGCTTCGTTGGAGAGAAACCGCCATTGAGCGCACACTGCCATGATCCCCGCCGATTCCTTGCGAGAGGCGAGGTAAACAGTGTGGCCCTTCGCCGCAAGGAGGTGGACGAGTTCGTAGCCGATTCCGGTATTGGAACCAGTCACAAGGATAACTTTGTTGGTGGACATTACAGAGGAGTGGAGGTCGAGAGGGGTTTGAGAATGGTCTAGATAGCGGGGTATTTATACCAGCGAGAAGCCGCGGCAGGACAACTTACGCGTTCGATCGTTCCGGGTAAAGTGGATTGCCGATGTTGAAGGTGGGTCAAAATCAGATTGGGCATCATTATTGCCATTTTGGGTGTCTTCTTCGGAACTGAGTAGGAAGCTCATGTAATTTGATGCGCTCGGGACGCCGCCTCCCATGGATATCGGCCATGTCCACTTCCTGCAGGATGTTCGGAATGCAGGCTTCATGCGTCAGAAGTGTGCTATCGATGTCAGCTCCGTATCATGGGGCCAGTTTTCAATTCGCATTACCTGAGGGTATAATGAGACAACTACCTGCAAGAGGAAGTGGTTGTAGGCGGGAGTGAAGTATCCGAGGACCAAATCAATACATTTAAGCACCCCGATATCGTTCGGTATTTTGAATGGCGCATCTTGAGGCTCAGAGTCTTCAGATTCATAATGATAGTGGGAGCGGTAATGCATCGGAATCCGAGGGCCCTATACCGGATATCAGACCATTTAAAGACAAAAGAACAGATGGAGTGCGGGGATTGACAGCAAGCAGTAGCCGGATCAGTATTAGGACTATCGTCCAGGAGAGGATCTCCAGTACAAGGAGCTGGGTAGAGCGAAGGGGAAGATCCAGGAATTGGCGGAGGTTCGGTCGTGGTCATGATCAAGCAGACCTCAGAGGTTGGAGGTAATATTGGAGGTTGTGGTAGATGAACCACAGCTGTGATTTCCAACACAGAGAAAGGAACAGATGCGTACGAGGTACTCGAGCATGCCGGAAGGAGCTGAGAGAGATGAAGGGTTGATATAATGAGAAGGACGTACTTAAGCTGCGCGACAAAGGCGCTGTCTCTCCTGAGTTCTGTGGTATATCTTGTACCCAGCGAGGCAGCATATACATATTCGCAACTATGCTGAATGGAAAATCACTGGCAGGTGGTTAACACACAGCCATGCAACAAATTTACCATTGCCATCCGGAGGCAGTCTGCTAGACGACGCAGTGCAACACCGTCCCCAGATTGGTTAGCGCAGGTGCAGCCGCTACCAGGGTGGATAATAAGGTCTAAGGTCTTGAGGGTACACTTTTCAGCGGAATTCTGAATATCTGCGCTGACCAGAGTCGGAAGGTTCAAGGTCACCTATTCGGTTGTTCTGATTAATATTGTAGGTGAGGATGAAAGAGATAAAAAGGGTCGTGAGTGTAAATACGCGCCTCACGCGCCACATCCACGTGCTGGGAAATCGGAGTTAGAAATCGGAGTTTGATGAAAATTTTCTTTCGTCCTCCGCCATACTTTTGTCATACTTCCACGCGGCATACACCGGTGAAATGAACGCGATACCCGCTAAACTGCAATTCGAAAGACTCTCACTACTTCCAGGCATGTAGATGTAGAGGCTTCCACTTCCCACTTCCAGGCTGTCATTAATTTTATAGGCCCCTTCCTCGAACCTGAGAATCGGCAGCTCTTCGACACACTGTTGAAATGTGGTTTTGTAAGAGCTCTGGCGATCGTTACTCTTTTAACAGAGAACATCGAATACGACATCTCAGTCGCAGCCTCACTATCCTTTTATATATCCTTAATGCTCGAATGGGCGATCGGTGGATAGGCGATCGATGGATGGAGCCGGCCTTCTTCCCGCACTGGTTTCGATTGTCCAGCAGGAACGCACGCCTCGTTCCGTGACTCGGATACTGGAAATATTTCTCCCTTCATACATGGTTCACTACAGCGTCGTCGCGCAGGTCGAGCTCGCCATGCCCGACCTAATGCCTGCGATACAAATCCTCATGACCACACAGAAGTTTCCTGATTGTTTAAAATCTTTTCTGCAGGCAGCGCAGGACCGGATTACGATCAAAAGCAACTACGACTCAGGAAAATATGCGTCTACTCAGGCATGCGATAATATGAAGGTGTGTCCAAGCTTTGCTTGAAATTCGCATTGGCGTAGCTGAGACATCTACCCCCCAGTGTGGTTTGCTCTTACGTAAATCCCTATTCCGACGCTGTTCGCAGTGCGCGCGGCGGTACTACTGCTCCGAGAAATGCCAAACGGTCGACTGGCGCGAGGCCGGCCATCGCGCCGTCTGTGAATCCCTCCGTACATGTACGTTGCTACCTACTACATACCATCCCGTCTCACTCCCGCTGAATATTTGGACCCCAGCCAAATCAGACGCCGCCAGCACCCGCGACCGCGCCTTCATGCGCGCCGTCGTCCACCACGGCTACGAATCCGGCCGAGACCTGCTCTTCCAGCGCCAAATCCTTTTCATGCGCGAGAACCCCACCGCGGACTTCTACTGCCTGTACAACTTCAAGTGCTTCCCGCCGACGTTCAGCGTGTTTCCGCTGCGCGACCTCCCGCGCACGGACCCAGTGTGGGCGGATTGTATTGAGCGCACGCGCAGGAGCGGGGGGCGGATGGAGGTCCATCTGGTGCACGTACCCGACTGCACGCACGCAGACGTCTCGAAGGGCACGGATGGCAGCTCGCGGATCTTCCCCTTGCGCTTGACGCGGGCTGATATCCAGACCGGGCTGTGGGCGATCGCGAAGGCGCTTCTGGCTGGCGTGGATGAGAGCAGGCTTGAGAAGGAAATTGAAGAGCGGGTCACGGCGTTGTTGTGCAGGACGCGGGATGTGGTGCAGATCCACTGCGAGTGAATCTTCCCCAGGAGATGCGCCATGACTGGTGAAAATTTGGACAAACTATCTTGAACTAATTGACATTCCTAGCACTGGTCGAGGCGGTTGCGCGGACGCAGGATGTGGTGCAGATCCATTGCGAGTGATTATTCCCGAGCAGATGCGGGACAACTGCTGAAAATTTCGACACACTGTCTTGAATTTAAACTAATCGACATCGCTAGCCTAATTCTGTAAAATTAACAAGAAGCGTTTTTTTTTGGACCGCGAGGATGCATAAACTCTGCCAGTGGGACTGTTTGAAGATAAAATGGATCAGCAACGGAGGAAACCTAAAAAAGGTTTCCCGAACATTTTCAAATGGCTCGAGCCCGGTTCGAACGGGCGTCCTCCACGAAAATGTCTGGATCTTTGCTACTAATTCATGGATGCATAACCACTCTGCCATCAAGCCGTCCTTGATTGCTGTCAAATCTTATGAAGATATCGTCGAACTACGAACAGATGCCCGCCGCGTCGCCGGAGCCACCTCAACTATACTTTGAACTATCTGACCAACTGTTTCAACGACGGCGTACAGTAAGTATCCCAACAGACCACAAACGACGGGCAGACTTGCAAGTTATCAACGCCATCGAACCCACTAGGCATTGACGTTGATGACTCGACTCACTAAGTACTTCACACTCAAACCATAATCCGCTCCGCCATTCATTCATCACAAAACCGCCACCCACTCATTCCACCATCATATATTCAAACACAGGTAAAGAGGTAAGATGAGATACAAATACAGCATATACGTGAGATCGTGCATATCGTGCGCGGAAGTACGCATTGCGCGCGGTAGGTAGGTGCATCACTTCGATGTACGGGTCGTGGGGTGGGGTTTTCGGGTAGAGTCCAAGCGGGGGCATAACCAAGACGAGATCTCACTGTCAGGACCAGAAGCGAGCGCAATCCAGACGTGCAGCGAGAATCATGGCACTAGGACGCAGGTGGGGGCCGGAACCCGCCGTTAAAGTCGGCCGAGTTGTTCTACATTCATCGTAAACAAGAGGTCAGCGAGGAGAGGCGAGAGAGGGACGCACGGAGATGTGCGCGCGCGGTGGCGGGCCTGGGGGCTGCAAGGGGTTAGTTAGAAACATGGACATAGCCGAATGGATCCACGGATGGCAGACGTACCGGTGAATACGCGGCGTCAATCCCCGGAGGTGGACCCGGCGGCTGTGGACGTCAACGACAGTCAGCATGCATGGAAAAAAAGGAGGCGAAAGGCAGACGCACCGGAGCATACTGCGCTGCATCGGTGCCCAAACCCTCCTTGACGTACGGAGGCGGCGCAAAGTCCGCGGCGGCGGCGGGTGGGTACTCGCTTCCGGGAACATACGGGTACGGCGCAGCAGGAGGGGGCGCAAACGCAGTGCCACCGTATTGGATCCCATGCGGGAAGCCGCTGCTGTTGTGGTGCGCGAGTGGGAGCGGTGGCGGAACGTATGGCTTTGCGGCTGCACGCTGCACGCGGCGGCGCTGGACGCAGCAGCAGAAGAGGAATAAGATTACCCCAGCTAGAAAAGAAAAGGGAAACAAGAAAAATAGAAGAAAAAGAGAGAAACAGAGATCCGACAATCAGCTCCTGATTCACCGACGAAAATGGGGAAGGTGGCGCACCGACGACGAAGCCGACGGCGGCGGCGGAGGGTGTTGTGCGCCGGTTCTGGTCATTCTGCGCGGCCACCAGGCGGGCGGTGAGGAGCGCGAGGCTGAGGGCAAAGTATCGTGCGCGCATCGAGGCCGGAAGGAAGGAAGGAGTGCAGTCACGCCTGTCACAGATCCGAAACCGGTACTTATATCAAAACAATTGTGCTTATCTTATCGCTCGTGCTTGCTTCATAATGTTCCCGTGCCCACTCCACAGCTTACAGCTTCAGCGCGCCTCCCCTGGACATTCTGAGCTGTAAACCTTCAAACTGTTTGAAAACTGTATCGTCTGCGGTGCACTGCCTCGTGGGATCCACGCCTCGCGAAAGGCCGGAGGCCGGCTGCTTCACCTGGCATCCAGCTGGCACCTGTAGACCACGGTCGTCAACGTCGTTGCCTCTTCGCTCGGATCCTCTCCGCTTCTTTGACTAGTCGCTACGGGTGCACAAATGCAATTGGATCCTCCCTGCTTGCGTGATTTTCGCCGCTATTTTCGCCACCGGGTCTTTTACCTGCTGCTCCTCTATATCTGGCCTGTAGCCCACGCTCTCAACACGCCATCTTGAAGTGGACACTGATTCCCGCCTGATGTCGGACTTGGGACCGATATTGAATACTGCGCCGACTCACACCGCCTCCGAGCCGTCGAGTGCTGCGGATCGTTTGTCATGTCATTCATCTCACACAGGCGGCGCAGCTCGTGTTTGTAACTTTACCACCAGGGTCCCTCTTTGCACTGCCCGTTCTACGAATCTCAAGGAGGCATTGGAGCAAAAATGTACTCTCTCTGTATGACTCGGACCCGAGTCGAACGGGCGCCTCCTGCAATCGATATATACGAAAGCTACATGGAGCGTAGGAGTGGACCCTCCACCGAGCGGTTCTTCTCTTCATCTACTCCTTTATCTAACCTTCAACAAATCGCCGCGCACGGACTTGTATTTCCCACAAAAAGAACTTCTCAGAGCTGCGACATGGCCCGGGCCCGAGTCGAACGGGCAGTTTCTGCTGTATTTCTCCGCCGCGCTACCTACAGAGCGCAGGGTGGACCCTCCACCGAGCCGTTCTTCACCTCAATTGTTTCCCAATCTTATCTTCAAGCAAAGAAAGCAAAATCGCTGCATGGCGACTTGTCTCAGTCTCGAATGAGCAAAAAAAACATGTGTCCTTTCCGAACATGGCTCGGGCCCGCGTCAAACGGGCGCCTCCTGCTGACAAGAAACTCGCAAATAGAGCACAGGAGTGGACCCTCCACCGAGCTGTTCTTCAACTTGTTCCTCGATCTTATCTTCAAGAATAAAATCAGATCTTCGCACAGGCTCTTGTCTTGTCGAACAAAAGATTGATGCCGTTTCTGCATGGCTCGGGCCCGAATCGAACGGACACCTTCTGCTGTATACTCTAAGCGACCGGGGTCATAGATCGCAGATGTGAATCCTCCACCGAGCCGTTCTTCACCATACTTGCTTCTCGATCTCACCGTCAAAAATCAAGCGCAGCATAAGGACTTGTCTCTGGCAAAAAGATTTCCTACACCATATGGCTCGAACCCGAGTCGAACGGGCATCCCCTGCTCTATCAAGTTCGCTAATTTCTCATAATGCACAGGAGTGGACCAGAGTGGACCCTCCACCGAGCCGTTCTTCACCCTACTCGCTCCTCGATCTTGCATGCAACAATCCCGACACATAGACTTGTCTCTTTGACCAAAAAAGAATCACACTTATAACCGCACCATGGCTCGAGCCTGAGTCGAATGCAAACTGACATTTCTAACTGGGTACAAAGGTGTGGACCCTCCAGCGAGCCGTTCTTCACCTACTTGCTCCTCGATCTTGCATGCAACAAATCCCGACACATGGACTTGTCTTTTTGACCAAAAAAGAATCACACTTATAACCGCACCATGGCTCGGGCCCGAGTCGAACGGGCGTCTCCTGCTGGTAACAGTGCAAATGCCTTCAGAGCGCAGGGTGGACCCTCCACCGAGCCCTTCTTCACCTCAATTGCTCCTTCGTCTTACCGTGCAAGAATCAAGCGCAGCACAAGGACTTCTCTCTGGCAAAAAAGGTCTGCTCCACCACATGGCTCGAACCCGAGTCGAACGGGCATCCCCTCTATCAAGTTCGCAAGTTTCTCATAATGCGCAGGAGTGGACCCTCCACCGAGCCGTTCTTCACCTCAATTGCTCCTTCGTCTGTATTACCGTCAAGAATCAAGCGCAGCACAAGGACTGGCCTCTTGGACAAAAAGGATTTGGCTCAACTCATCGCGGAATGGCTCGGGCCCGAGTCGAACGGGCGGATTCTGCTGTATTTCTCCGCCGTGCTACCTACAGAGCGCAGGGTGGACCCTCCACCGAGCCGTTCTTCAGCTCACTTTTCGATCTAATCAAACCAAATCGCGGCTCGAGGTTTGGCCGCAAAAAATGTTTCGGTCTGCATGCGTATATAGCTCGAGCCCGAGCCGAACGGGCGTCTCCTGCTGACAAGAAACTCGCAAATAGAGCACAAGAGTGGACTCTCCACCGAGCCGTTCTTTAGCTTGTTCCTCGATCTTATCTTCAAGAATAAAATCAGATCTTCTCACAGGCTCTTGTCTTGTCGAACAAAAGATTGATGCCGTTTTCTCCGACATGGCTCGGGCCCGAGTCGAACGGACGCCTTCTGCTGTATACTCTAAGCGACCGGTCATAGATCGCAGATGTGGACCCTCCACCGAACCGTTCTTCAGCTCACTTCCTCCTCGATCTTACATGCACGACAAGAATCAAATCGCGACACGAGTACATGTCTCCTGGATAAAAAAAAAAGAGTCGCTCGAACCCAATATGGCTCGGGCCCGAGTTGAACGAGCGGTTTCTGCTGTATTTCTCCGCCGCGCTACCTACAGAGCGCAGGGTGGACCCTCCACCGAGCCGTTCTTCACCTCAGTTGTTTCCCAATCTTATCTCCAAGAACAAAATGAAAAATTGCTGCGTGACGACTTGTCTCAGGCTCGGATGAGCAAAAAGACATGTGTTCTTTCCGAACATGGCTCTTAAATAGAGAGCGCAGGAGCGGACCCGTTCCACATCGAATTCGCTGCGTTATCTGACAAGAAATTAAATGCGACACAGGCACCCATCTCTTGGACCAAAAAGGACGCTTCACCCACATGGCTCGGACCCGAGTCGAACGGGCGGTTTCTGCTGTATTTCTCCGCCGCGCTACCTTGGCGCTACCTATAGAGCGCAGGATGGACCCTCCACCGAGCCGTTCTTCACTTTACTTTTTCCTCGATCTTACACTCAAGAAATCAAGTCACGGCACAATCTAAAAGACAGACTCTGGCCTGCAGAGCGCAGGGACCAGGTATCAGAACAGCGCGGGAAGAGATCAAGATAAGCAAAGTTCCATCAGTGGCGGTGCCGGCTATGATGCTGCCTTTGTTCCGGTGCCATTCTTGCGCGTCTCACAAGCGTCTCATCTTTTATTTTTCGTACACTCCCACCGGGATTCCCAGCGCTGCTACAGTATAAGTACGCATTACTTGCATTGTTCGTCGAAACGGACCTCATACTGCACATAGGTCCATGATGGATCCAGCGTTGCTATCTATCCTGCGACACAACGGCGTTCCTACCGACGAGCAAACCTTCGAGCTCAGGCGCTGTCTGGATGCTGGCGAGGCCGAGGTTTCGCAACTCGGCCACACCATTGCAACGCTGACTTTGGTACTGTCGGAACTCCAGTCCCGATTATCGAGGCAGAC